CCATTCGTAAAGGCAAATTCAAGTCTGGTAACTCAAGGAAAAAAAAAAAAAATGACAGCAGCAAAAACCCAAGAACACCTGAAGATAAGGACTGATGAAGACAAAGATGTTGCAGTTCCTGAGGAATCTTAGAGAAAATAAGACTGGAGAAGGCCCTCAAGATTATCCGGTACCTACTTTAGCATGTCTTTCTGGGAGTATTGTTCACATGGACTAACAAAGCTGTCGTCTTCAGACGACGCAAAAAATCTAAAAGTCACCCATCAAAAACATTGCTTTCATCAGAAAACTGGTAGTGAGCATGATACTAAGTATGGCAAAAAAAATACCCAATCTGAATAATCTAAGTAAAATGTGGACATGCAATGATGTGAGGTTAGTGTTGACATTATTTCTGATTTCCAGGTAAGTCACCAAGCGATTTTGTAATGCTCGTGAAAGTTATCCACTGATCAAAATAACAGATAATAGGAATGAAATCAGTGAGAGTGCTGTTAATAAGCTATGGAGTAAATTCTTAATTCATCACAGAAAGTGGTTACCATTGGGCTAAACCTACTTTTTTCTTTCCCTTGTTAGGTAACTCTGCATCCAGAGAGAATCTAGCACATTTGCAGATCTTGCTATCACCTTTACTTACCTGAGACTGCAATTTCCAAATATGTGGAGGAAGACAACATGCTAAGATTGCAGGAGGTACAGCAAGTCCACTTGCTGGCAGGGAAACGGGTAATGGTATTGAAGGACTAATATGCTTCTGGCACTCTGCAAATGGGACTTAATAAAGAAAAGGACAAAACCAGCCCCAGAACAGCCCAGAATAAGCATCAGAGAGCAGAGATTGTTCTTTAGCTGTCTCACAGTGAAGAAAGTCCCTGTCCCTGCCCGCAGCAGGGGGGTTGGAACTAGATGATCTTTAAGGTCCCTTCCAACCCAAACCATTCTGTGATTCTATGAAAGCTGCTAGATGACCAGACAAATAGAACGACATTGTTTCCCAAAATTACCTGGATTTTTTTTAAAAGCATCAACATTTGGTACTTTCTTGTCTTTATCTCTCTGCATCTGCTGCAACCCTACCTGCAGTCTTTCCTCTTGTCACCTCCTCTATCTATTTTATACCTTCCTGCACAAAACAGGGCCAGAGACACATTCAGGTCAGCTAGGTACTGCTCTCTGTGGTATTCAGACAACAGTATTCACGCTGCCTGGGACCAAACAGCAGAATTACTCACTCAGCACAGGCCTAATCACTAGTACCTGCTCCTTCTTATAGCTACTAGTGTCACTTGTAATACAGCAGAGAACTACACCAAGGAGTAGTTCTGGACAGAAGAGTGTCTCTAAACTCCAACACAAACACCCCTCTTCTCAAGGGAAAAGTCCTTCTTTAGCAACTTTGCACACATGGCAGCTCTGCTCTGATACTTTACTGGAAACACCACTGTCCCCTTCCTGGCATTGAAATTTGATTTGTACTGAGTTGTTGTTTGATGTCGGGCAACTATCAGGTCTTTTGACAAAAGCCCAAAAGCTTAAGGGACTGAAGCAGCAAGATCTGAGCAGAGTCACACAAGTTAGCCACAGAAGACTGAGGTGGAGGAAAACGTCAAATCCTTACCTCTAATAGGCCTTGAGCCAGATATTTACGGTTTGTCAGAAGAGTAGTGCTAAAGCAGTGGGAGCACTTGTATTTACAAATACATTTCTCACTGGTGCCAAGCTCCTGAGCTGCTATAACTTAAAATGGAATGGAAACAGATAAACCTGATCTTAGATTTCCACTTGCTTCACATAGCTAGAAATGGGATGTTTTTAATAGACTTTTCCTTTGGAAAGCAGATTGTAAAGAGGACTGTATTTTCCTGCCTGCAGAACTTCAATAGGCCCTTTCCTTGTGTGCAGATTTGGTTGATTTTCTTTAACATGCCTTGGAGAAGCAGATGGATGCTATGTAAGATACTAAACCTCCATTCCTAGGATGTGACAGCTGTCAGAGGATGTCTCATTTCCTCCAGATTAGCTTTCGCTTGTCTACACACTGTCCAGTCCCCAACATCTGTATGCACAGACCACATACTCGAAGTTTGCCAGGAGAGCATCTGTAGTTTCCTGGACACTGCAAAGCTCTCTGGTATCCCTGGCAAGCTGTCAGGTATTGCCCCACTCTTTTACATCATTGCCAGAGCACTGCAAGGAAGAAAAAGAGGCAAGAAGCATTCTAGATACCTTCCAACATGGGCAAGAAGCCCCCGAGCCCCACCCCACCTAGGAACAGGCGTATTTTTAGCATCAAAGGTGCTTTTCAGACCATGTAATTGTTTGGGAGGATAGGAGGAGAAAGACTTCTGCCTTCCTCTCTCACTTACGTAGAGAGAGAGGTAACCCAAAAATAGGAAGAATGATGTTTTCTTGTACTCCTCTATATCTACACTTCCTTCAGTCCCCAGTACACCTGCAGTTTGCAGGTATTTCAAGACTTTATCCTAAAGTTCAGATGGGAACCCACAAACATATTAGAGAACTTTAACACAAAAGCACGTAGCTCACCGCACGTTTGCTACAAAATGCTCCTGGGGCTGCCAGCTACAAACAGAAACATCATATACAAACTCCCTCCCGACAGGGAAGAATCCTACTTAAGTCCTCAGATAAGAGATTCCTCCTACCTGGTCTTAAGTTGCAGAAGCAGCAGACTTAGCTCTGTTTTCTTTTTCAGGAGTTTCCAAAAACAGAAATGTAGGGAGATGCCTAAATGCAGGGAAAGAAAGAAGGAGCCAGGGAAGGCATGTACATTAGAGTAACTGAATTCCAGGTATTGAAGACTAAGCACTGGTGCTCTTTTTATAAAGGATAGAAGCTCCACAAAGATTTATTTCTAACAAAAATGCAACATTTTAATATTGAACATCATAAAAAACCCACTAAAATACAAACTTGAACCATTGCTTTGAAGAGGGGATTCTGCTTCTAAGCAAAATGAAATTAAACATCCAAGAAATTATGAACAGTACCCCTGAGTTTCCATAGAACGTTAGTAACTCATATGGGAGCTCTTAAGTCTAGAGCCACATGAGTGATATGCTCAACTGATGGAAAACAAACCCCAAATGTTTCAGTACAAGTTCACGTTGAAGGAATGCCCTCTAAAGCCTTCAATTTGGCTTAAATGAATATCCTACTGAGTTAAGACTAATACAAAATCCTACGTAGTAAGAACCAGTGTGTGATTTTCACAGTCTGTATTGACACACACACACGCAGAGTCCTACCTGATCCCACAGAGTTTTATCTTTGGACCAGGATCTGACATCATTGCACTGTCACCAACAAGACGACTTGTTAAGAGAAGTAGTGTTTCCCATTCTTAAAATCTAAACCATATTTTATTAATTGCTAACAATGCATCCTTTTAATGAGACATCATAGACACCCCACACCCAACAACCCACAAACTGAACGTCAGTTCAAGAGCAAGACTGTTTGGCATAGGCGCAAGCCCCAAAGTTTCTTTATCCCAGCAGCTAAAAGGTAAATCATAGTTAGCATTTTTGCACTTTTGAAGCTCAAAGGCTCTGATACTGCTACTAGCCTGTGTTACTGCTAGAAACAAGGAGGTAGAAAGGACTGACACTTCTTAAAACTCTGCGCTTACTAGCCTAAAAGGCCCAATGTAGGAACCCCTCCCCCCCCCCAAACAACAACCTTTTTACCCCCTGCAGACTTTGCAAGATGGTGCATCTGAGCTTCTCAGTGTTCCTCCCCAAAAAGTAATTATTTACTCCAGTCCTACCCCCAATGAACTAATACATAACAGTCAACATGTAATAATCCAAATAGGATATGACAGTATCTAAAAACAGACTCAAGTAAGTTCACCTTTGAACAAAAGAACAAGTGTCCTATAAACCAATTTGGCTTTTTCTCATAAACTCTTGGTAAGCAAGGTAGACACAAATGGTGGTATTTTGTTGGGGTTGAGGGGAAGAGGTATTTGGTTGTTTTAAACAAAAAGCAGAAAATACTTCTTTGTAGTTTTAGTAATTATGCTGGCCTAAGAATCACCTAAGGTCACCTAAAGTTCTAAGTCTTCCTGAAGGAAGGTTTTGCAAATGGATGCTGTGAACAGAAGTGCAGTTAAATTAAACACCTTCACATAAGCATGTTGCTTACCTCTATATGAATTACTTAACAGGAGTTGCTTAAAGCATCCCTGATGGTTTTATCATTAGCTTCAGCTCATTAGGAGAGGTCCAATTGCCCAACTACATATTAAAGACATAGCAGGTATAAAAATATGCTGGAGTTTTATGCATTATCCTGTCGTTGCACTTAACTACACCCTGGTGATAAACATCTCTCAAGCTGCCTTGACAAAATACATTACTGGACAAAACATCTGCATGCTGCAACAAGTGAATGGGCTGTGGATTTGATCAACTGCTGTTTGCTGATGCATCTGAGGCATGGATCTTTCGAGCTCTGAGTGTACGGTCAGCATTTTAACAGGTACTACAATTACAACATAGAGATGACATTTGAGTAAGAAAACAGTACAAAACAGTAGTCACATGTGTTTGCGTTGGGTACATTCACTGCACAAAGCTGATCAAGTTGTTGAAGCTGCAGGATATTGAGAGACTGGCAGCTGAGTGGCAGGCAGAACTCCAGGAGCAGATGAATGGGATAAGAGACCGGCATTTTCAGGGAGGAGACTGCTGGGATTAAGAAGGGGAAAAGAAAGGGATGCCGCAGCAGCAGCCTGCCGTCCTAGCAGAAGTCCTAAACTATAGACGTTTGAATTAATGAGATCATTGCCTGGGAGGAGTATATTCAGTTGTTTCTGAATTTCTTGCAGGACCTGCAGCTGACTTTGCTGATTCAGAAGAAGCATATCCATATTTTCCCTCATTTTCTTCACTGTACAGAGAGAAAAGAATGTTAATGCTTGCTATGTAAAAATACTTCACGTGGTAATTTAAAAGCCTTTTTATACTTACACTCTTCAAGAAGGTTCAAGTGATCCTTCTCACATTTCTCTGCACCACACCTTTGCTCTTCTTTTAGATGCAGAGATGTAAATTCAGAATAGTTTGCATCTAAAAGGAAGACAGTGTAAGTCAAGAGCCCACTTTATCACCAATTACTAGGTCAGCAGTTTAAATATGCTTTCACACAAGGAAAAGGCAGCTCAGTAACAACCCTTCCTCTCACTCATATTTTAAACATAAAACTTCATTCAAATCACATGTTGTCCCAGACGAAGCCAAACCAGAACAAAGACTAGGCAGACATAGCCCCCTGAAATAGACTTGGATTTTATCACAATAAAGATACCTTCCTCTTGGTTCCTCTCCATCTCTTTTCTTTTTTTTTTTTTTTTTTTTTTTGTTTTGGTTTTTCCTGGGAGGGGGAAGGAAGCCAAGCTGGAGCAGGGGAGCTCTTAAGGAATAGGACAGCTAAGATTTTGTAAAAATGAACTTAAGTTATAAATACATAAACCTCTTCTTTGAAATCATATCAGATACAGAAATCAATCTTCATTTCTACTCCACACATAACAAGGCCAATGCAGCATATGTTTGATCATGAAAGCAGTTTTATTATGGAGCTTTAATTACAATGATGCAGTAGCTAACAGTTACTCCAGAGTAAGTTTGCACACTTTCTTTTGAAGCAGGCATAGTATTAGGCCGATCTGTTATTAATTTTTGACCATCTGCCAAGGTAAAAATGAGACTACATTTTTTTTCTTATGAATTATAAACTCTTACATCTAAAAAAACCCCCCACACTATTAAAAGCCCTCAAGGGGATCAAAAAAAAAAAAACCGCATCAGGAGTGTAAGGTCCCACCTTTAGGGCTCCTTAGCAGAGTTACTAGGCCACCCCTCTACATCTATGGACTAAGCGGTCTCAAACCCTACCTTAGGAATTCAGTTCTGCCATTTCATTATAACTTCATTATTATTTCCATTGTTAAGATGAAAGGCTCTCCTGCTCAGACTTTTTTTTTTTTTCAGGAGGGAAAACAAAATAAAACAAATAAAAAACCAGAAAAACCTCACACACAAAACACATTCTTCTCATATGGACTCATGTCTTAATTGCCCTGCTGTTACATGACCTGGTGGTCAAGACTCCAACACCTAAAACAATTCCATGGGTGGCTAGGCAAGACCCAAGACTAAAAATTAAAACATTTTGGACCAAGTATAAAGGGAGTGCTCATGTAAAGGTACACCAACAGAAAAAACCCACAATGTCAGTTTTTATCCCATAGTTTCTGGTCATGACAAGAACACGGAGTAATTGCAAAATCCAGAAAACTCCCTACATTAAACAATCACCTTGCCTGACAGCTTGTGCTATGCTAAGGGTATTATGGGTGGCCAGCGGAGACTTCCCACTACAGACAATGAAAAGCTGCTCATTTAATAGCCACATATAACAAAAATTAGCCGCTAGAGATTACCAAGGCCCTGATTCACAATCTAAATCCTTTCCATATCCCTAAGCTTAGTATTTTGTTGGCTAAGCGCTTCTGAAGATCTAGGGATAGACATCAGGCAACACTATGAAGCAGAATTAGCGGGATCTCAGAGCTGTGCAGAGTCTTAAGGTCCCAGGCAGCCTTCATGGCAAAGCCTAAATTTCAACTTTAGCATTTTCAAGGCACTTCTTCAAATGACAGAGATAAATATATTATATCAGAAGGGAAAAACAAACAAGCCGCACTCACATCCACTGCGAAGAGCGGGGAAGCATTTAGGAACAAACAGAGACCACAGTGTCTGATACATCCCCTGTGAGTGTGTACAGCTTGAAATAAAACTCACCAGATTTTAATTCAGTTACCTGATGTGTATTCACTGGGTCTCTCTCTCAAATGAATCCGTTGATGTTTGATGAAGTTTGAGCACAGACGGAAGCTACTTCCACACTCGGTACACCTATAGGGCTTCTCATCTATATGGACCCTCTGATGCTGGAAGAGCGCTGCGCCGCCACTGAAGCTTTTCCTGCACGTGGTGCAGGAAAAGGCTTTCTTTTTTGCATGGGTTTTGCGGTGAGCGATAAGGTTTGAGGTACGGCTGAAGGTTTTCTCACATTCCTTGCACTTGTAGGGCCTCTCCCCCGTATGGATTCTCTGGTGCACCACCAGGTTGGCCTTCCTGCTAAAGCTCTTCCCACATTCTATACACTCAAATGTTTTTTCTCTCGTATGGGTTTGCAGGTGGTTCAGAAGCCTGGAGCACCCCTTAAAGCCCTTCCCGCATTCTGTACACTTGTAGGGTTTCTCTTCTGTCTGTGGTTTTTGGCCATCAGCGATGAGAGCAAGTTTCTTGAAGCCTCTTTTTTGGTGAGGGGGTTTATTACAGGCTGCCCCCCTGTCTGGGCTGTGGGCATCAGGTAGCTGACACAGTACATCTTGCTTAAGGTCTTCAGGGATGTCTCTGTCCTCCTCATGGTCACTCAAAATGGAGTCCCCTGATGGAGTAAGAGAGCAATCGGACACTTCTCCTTCCCTAAGGCAGATAAGCTGCTCCTTGCAAAATAACTGAATTTCTCAGGCCTAGCATCACCTTGCACCAGACTTCCCTTTTCCAAAGTGGAAGGGAAATGATTAAGATTGAGACAAGGGAAAAAAAAAAAGTGGCACAGGGAAGAAGAGGTAAGAAACCTACCTCTTCTCTTCCTTCCCCTCCCCATTTCCTTGTTCTCTTGTTCTTCCTCCCCTCAGGGAATGGCAAAGCAAGACTACCAAAATGAAGGCAGGCAAAGGAACATGCTGAAACATCTTACTTGTTTTAAAAAAAAATAAAATTTTTAAAACCTACTTTTCGCTATTTGTTCCTGTAGACTTTGCTCAAAAGCCTTCTGGCCTGCTAAATTAGTACTAAAACTCTGTTTTAAAGCTCTGCATTTAGGTAGGGATGGTTCAACACTAAAAGTCCCTTAACCTAAAAATGAACAGAGAGGTTTAGGTTGTTTCTCACTTGTGTTAGTTAATATTTACTGAAAAATTTTAAATTACTTCTTTTACCGGTTGGCATGTCAGGATTTTTTTCCCTAATTATCACAAAAACAGTTGTACTTATTATAGGGATATGGTATATTCATGCATCAAAAGTCAAAGGAGTTAAATGTTTACTGACAAAAAATTAACTAATTGACAATTAACTATTACTATCTCTTTTGTATCTAGATCTAGCATGACACCTACTTTTCTTGTAGTGACAAGCTAAACAAATTGCATTCCAAGGAAGTTCACAGGAAACTCAAAACGTGGCCCCTTCTTTCCTAAAGAATGCAACCTATATATTTAACAAATAAGTATGTATGATTATGTACCTCACAGTAAGCTTTGGTTATCTTACTCTGCTGATTAAGTTTTATATTTGCATCAGTTCAGAATTAAAAGAATTATAAGCATCACCTGACACATACTTATCCAAGTTTGATTTTTTGCAAGCATCTCAAGACGTTTACTATTAATTCAAATAGAGGACTTAGCCATTAGCATCTCTGATGTAGCATTAAAATATTCAGTTACTCACACTACATATACTTCCATTTAACACATCAAGTTCGATTATTCCACTAACAAAGAAACAGGCTTTCTACATTCAATGTAAAACTCTGCAGTGTAGAGACCTCTATAATGCCAGGGAATAAAATTCTTAAGTAACATGCCCTTGAAGAAACAAAATGCTATTTACATAGCCACAACTGCCAAGATGTAAATACCAGTAATAAAACAAATAATCCCACTCACTGGGGGGGGGATGACACTCATCTCTTACATCAAGGAATTACACCCAAGAGGCAGCTTCCTCCCAGAGGGATGAAGAAGACTCCTTTTTGCAGGAACAGTCATTCCCTCACTCTACAACCAAGCAGCTGATTATTCCCAGACACCCAAGCAGAGATCACAGGTCTCTCAACAGTGAAATGGGAACCAAACAACCCTCCATTCCCATCCACAGCTAGTGCTGGGGAGTCACTGTGCAACTCCCTCAAACCTTCCACACACACAAAAAAGCCTGAAAAAGAGTAGTGCACTGCCTTTCCTCCACTCCAAACGACCTGTATGTCTTACTTTAAAACAGCTACCAGGAACCCACAGCAGAAAGAAACACAAAATACCACCAACCACCTTGCCCCAGCCTAGCATGCCATGCCACCCTAGCAACCTAGGACAGAGCAGCCACCTGAGAAGCAGGAACAGAGTGTCCCCAGCACCTGTCGGTGCAGCCTCAAGCTTCCTTCCCTCTGTGATTTAACTAGCAGAGTTTACATCTCACCTGCACATCCTGCAGTATCACTTTTCCCAGGCTCCGGGAGAAGAGAGAATACAGACTCTAGTACTGGCTCCATCTAGAAGAATAGAGGAGACCTGGAGCATGAAACCTTCCCCGCACAGACGGGAGGAAAAGGGGAGAGGGCAGACACAGGTGCAGTGCATTTTGGCAGTACCCACAGGTGCCTAAAAGGGGCAAACCCACACTTGCTATATAACAACACCTAAAAAGATGTAACAGTTTTCTAGAAAGACCTAAAGTTTGGTGACTGGACAGCTTAATCAAGAGATCAGTGTGATAAAAAGCTGTATCATCTAACCTCAACCTCCCTCTTAACACCAACAAGCTGTATCAGCTCCCAGTACAGGATCCCAGTCTCAGCCTCAACACCTCGTGCTTCTTCCCAACCTTTAATACACCCCGGGCAGCTGACGGCCTCCCCTTCCCTCCGGAGCCGCTCCACCCCTCCCCGAAAGCCTCTGAGCAGCACCGCAGCGTGCCCCAGGCCTGCTTTAGGGCCGCCG